ATGGGTTCGAGTCACTTCTGGGGTGTGGAGTTTTCAGTTTTTCTATACTATCAACTATAGAGATGGCGAGTGAGTACGCGGCATGCTGTAACATTCCACCACACACACCCAGACACCCACCACACACCCACCCACACACCCACCCACACACCCACCCACACACCCACCACACACCCACCCACACACCCACCCACACACACACCCACACACACACCCACACCCACAAAGGGTCACCTCCAGGCTGGCACCACCCACCACCACCACCTTGACCGTGCCTGGCTCCCCAAGTGCCACCCCCCAACATTCCCCACATGCACCCTCACCAACCACCTGCCAAGCTGCGCCACTGTTCCCTCCCGAGCGAGTGCGCGCCCCACAACAAGTGCCACAGCGAAGCTTAAAACTGTTGTGAAGACACACACTCCAGGAGCCCGGGTTCCGGAGCCCACTACAGCTGTGACTTCACGAAGCGGAACACGTGTGACTAACAGGCAGGTGTGTGAATCAATGCCAAGTGTAAACCATTGGCAGGTATGACTCTCTGACAGGTGGAAGTAACTGAGAACGGTGAGCTCAACGAACACCTGGGAATCACAGTAGCAAGTGCAAGAAGCAGGTGTTTGATGATACTGAGGAGGGGGCAAGAAACTGAGGAATGATTGGGGAAGGGGTGGGGGGGGGGGGGGGCGAGCGTGCTGGTAGAAAGGTATGGAGGGAAGCTGGTGTTAGAAGCAAGTGGAAAGTTTTGGTGGGGTGTAGTAGCGAGGCAGGTGAGAGGGGGGAGAGGGAGGGGGGAGAGAGAGGGAGGGGGGAGAGAGAGGGAGGGGGAGAGAGAGGGAGGGGGAGAGAGAGGGAGGGGGAGAGAGAGGGAGGGGGAGAGAGAGGGAGGGGGAGAGGAAGGAGGGGGGGGAGAGAGGAGGAGGGGAGAGGGAGGGAGAAGAGGAGTGGGGGGGTGAAGCCAGGGGTGGTTCACATATCTGGAAATGGGGGAGGGGGAGGGATGGATAGGGTAATTGGGAAAGGCAAAGAGTCAAGGATATGGGAGATGTGTAGGATTGTGTGGAGGAAAGAGGGTAGGGGGGATGGGCAGGATGATATACACGTAAACCAAATACTTGGTATACACGAGGACTACATTCCATTAGAGGGAAGCATTCCTTGTGGTATTGATTCTTGGTTTACTACTTGCTTCACTATTGGGAATGGGGGGGGGGGGGAACGTAACCCTCCCCCCTACAACCACCACCCCCACCCCTCCCCCCTACAACCACCACCCCTCCCCACCACTACCCCCCGCAAGCCACACAAGTACCACCCACGGATCTTGAGGCGCAGTGGTCTACGTCCGAGACTCACAATCGAGGGGACCCGGGTAAATAGCCTTCGGCAGGACAGAAACGGCTGGGCAGGCTTCCTTTAACCTGATGCCTCCGTTCACCTAGCAATAAAAATAGGTACCAGGGAGTCGCGTCAACTACTGTGGATCCTGAGGAACGTCATTAATAGGGCCAATTGCAGGCTTCCTGTCCCAAAAATTGGGCCATCTGAAAATTCTTCATGTACTCGGGAATGTTGAAAATATACACACACAATTTTATATATATATATACACTGCTTTGGTAACGAAGCAGTTAAACCATTAACTGTACAGTATAGGAAAGCTTTAACCGAGTCATTAGACCGGTTTATATATGCAAGGTTTAGCTAGCTCTTAATAAGGTGAAGACCTTAAAGCAGATTTAAGGTTACGCCTTAAATGACGAACTTTTAAGACGTGTTATGTTGATATACAAGACTATCAGGACGCCTTTAAGATGGGCAGAATCAACAGAGACATAATCGAATACACAAAAATAATCTATCCTCCACAAATGATAGTATTAGTACTTGCAGCTCTGTGTATCTATGTATTTATGTCTGTGGGTTAGATTTAGCATTTTAAAAGCACTACAATCACCTTCAGTGGTTGATTGTTCAATAAATCCCGGAACTATATGTTTAACACATCTCTCAACCTGTCCACGAAGGACAGAAGAAAATGTATATATGTTGGTTAGCACTGTAAATGTCTGGCCACATCTGTGGCAGAAAAAAAGTACTTACAGTGACTGCGGTGTACATGTACAAAATAGCCAACGAGTGCTTTGATTGTTGGGTAGGTTGTTGCAGCTTTGCAATACCCTCTAGTGATCCAATAGTGTCGAACGTGGGCTCATTCTGAGCGCATCAGCCCATATTTAGTGCATATGTGGGAGCATGAATCAAATATGAACCGATGCATCTAAAAAAAGAAGGGCCACGTTTTGTAATGGGTACTATTAGTTATGGAGGATAGACTATGGAAAAAGCATTAAGTACACTGCCAGAAGCGGTCTCTCCAGCACTTATTGTGTCTTAGGGCGGTACGAAGAAGACAGACAGACAGAGAAAGAGAGAAAAAGAGAGAGAAAGACAGAGAGACAGAGAGAGAGAGAGAGAGAGAGAGAGAGAGAGAGAGAGAGAGAGAGAGAGAGAGAGAGAGAGAGAGAGAGAGAGAGAGAGAGAGAGAGAGAGAGAGAGAGAGGGAGAGAGAGAGAGAGAGAGAGAGAGAGAGAGAGAGAGAGAGAGAGAGAGAGAGAGAGAGAGAGAGAGAGAGAGAGAGAGAGAGAGAGAGAGAGAGAGAGAGAGAGAGAGAGAGAGAGAGAGAGAGAGAGAGAGAGAGAGAGAGAGAGAGAGAGAGAGAGAGAGAGAGAGAGAGAGAGAGAGAGAGAGAGAGAGAGACAGAGAGAGAGAGAGACAGAGAGAGAGAGAGAGAGACAGAGAGACAGAGAGACAGAGAGAGAGACAGAGACAGAGAGAGAGAAGGAGGGGGGGGGGTCAGGGGCGAGTCACAGACCGTCCTTACAGGGAGTCAAGCGTCCTTACCCTCACTAACATCACCACAGCTTACGCTTAAGCATAACAACAACAACAATAATAATAATAATAATAAAAAGCAGTCACTACACAGATCTCAGAGTGACAATTTATTGGATCACGTCCTCATGGCGTCACCACCTGTCCCTCGAGTGCTACTCGAGAGGGGGGACAGGCAGTACTACTGCTCCTCTACATACATGATCTACCCAAACGTCCTACTTGCTGCTGCTGCTGCTGCTGCTTATTTTCTCTGCTGCCATGACAAGGAAGAGTGGTCTCCACCACAAGGAGTCTTAAGGCCCCGTTGTTTTAGCCCTTGCTGTCGTCTCGGCTGATGACAATAGTTAACCATCCAAAACAGATAAGTCAGCAGAGAAAACTTGAGGAAGTTCAGAAGGAGGGGGAGGGGGGTTACTACCGTCCTTGGAGATCCCAAGAGCAATATACAGATAGCTGGAGAAGGCACACAAAGCGAGGAACAAAGGGGTTCAGTACAATTTGTACATACAAACCTTGACCAGCGAGGCTCCAGAGCAGCAATCATCTGAAACTACAGCACATATACCACAGTCCTACTATGTATACAAACTACCTAACATTATATACATGTAAACAGACATGAATGTATCAACGAAAGAAATATATATATATATGCATATTGTGGCCTTTGTCTTTTGCACAGGCTAAGGGGTAATGGTTGTGTGTGTGTGGGGGGGGGGAAGGGGGGTACTATCATTTCATGAATAGCCTCCCCTTCCCCCACACACACAATACATAGAGCTGAAAATGAGTTGTAACAGAGAACAAGAAGAGTATACTAGTCCCGTGCTCCCAGCGCCCTTATCAAGGGGGGACTAACTCCCAAGGCACCTTGTAAATTGAGCTTGAAATATTCAATGCGCACTTGATAAGCACGTTTGGAAAACCAAGAAATATTGTCCTTAAAACTCTGCAATCGTGAGTTTTAGTGTCGAGAGAGAGAGAAAGAGACGTGTGTGTGTGTGTGTGTGTGTGTGTGTGTGTGTGTGTGTGTGTGTGTGTGTGTGTGTGTGTGTGTGTGTGTGTGTGTGTGTGTGTGTGGTGTGTGTGTGTATATGAGAAAATTTAGTTGGAGTAAGAATATTAGATAACCGACTGTTAGAAAAGCGGGGTCCAAGAGCTAAGGCGCTGGATCCTACAGACACCATTAGTATAAACACGCAGGGGTCCAGGAGACCTTCCCTCGTAGCGGAGCTGGGGGTGTGCTGTGTGTGTGGCGTCTAGCAGGGCATGGCGCGGCTACCACTGAGATACCACCAGCTGTGTTCACATAGTCCAAGTCATGTGAACTCAGGATGGTTCTCGTGGTACCCGCCCGGTTGGTACTCCTCGGCTGGTGGTAGGTACAGCAGTCTTCCATGACCAGGCGTGGGGGGGGGGGGGTAAGGCAGCGCCTCTAAGGTCAAGCAGAGTCCTGTAGGGGGGATGGTGCGGTCCCCATACACTGGCGATGTTTGTCCAAAAGCTTCATATCTTGTAGTCCGGTGGCCTATGACAGGCCATAGGCTTGAGGCAAACCTCAAGCCAGTGTACACTACACTGGCTTGAGGTCTGATGCAATGCAATACACAAATAACGATCGGTGAAAGACAGTTACCAGGTGACCTGGTAACATAGAAGCGCGCACAGTTTGGTGACCAACACTCACACACATATTATGACCTAGTAACCTACGCCAGTATAGAGCCTGGTGACCTAGATGTAGCGAACTGCGGGTCTTTTGACGCCAACATGGCTTCCGTCTAGACCAATGTCTACCTCAAACCAAACCAAACTGTAGGGTGTTCTTAACACCCCTGTGTCAGAACACGAGATGTAGGACCCTCCCTGTCCTACACCTTCCCTGCACATAATTACACACA